TATTTAATATTAATATTTAGTTAATTGACGTTTACTGCTACTGAGAAGAAAAACAATCCATCGCTTTGTCCTGTTTTGTTTTACCTGGCTGAGAATATGTGAAGGTGAATTGGGGATTATTCATCTTGTTTGATTTTTTTTCTAGTCCACAATCATTAATTATAGAAACAAAGTTAAAGCATTCATTAGTATTAAATCGTGACTAAATTTTAAACCCCGAATCCTTTTTTCGTATTAAAAATTAAAGTGGCTTTTTCAATTAAGAGTTGATGCGAGCTCGAAAAAGGTTTGGTTTTAATCATTATTATTATAATTAATGAATTCGAATAGATAAATTATATTTATAAAAAATTTAATATCACCAATATATGGGACAGACAAAGTGAACACTAAGCTTACAAAAAAAGCGAGGAGAAAAGGTTGCTCTTTATGTTTTTAAATTGGCCAATACAGAAACTATTCATAAATACTTGGACAAAATAAATAACTTGTGAATTTATCAGCAAAATCTTTTGTTCAAGAAGCAAATAGTAATAGTAATAGGTCAAAAGCGAATAAAAGAAAACTAACTTAATTTAGGTTAATTATGCCAAAGGATTACCCCACGCTTTAGAGTCAATTCGCTGCCATTAAGTCAAAATGATGCAAGTAAAATTGCTTTAAAGGCGAATAAAATATAAAAGCTCACAAAAAAAACTTATAAATATATTTCCGAGGTCTTTTTTTCTTGTATATCCTAATCTCTCCTTTGTTTCATGAGTAATTCCCAAAAAGTTAAGTTTTTCTTTTGCTGAGTATAAATTCAGTTCTCGCACACTAATTCACTACTAAATTCAAACATTTCTTGCATTAATATTGATAACGTGATACTAATACATGATAAAATCATTAATTAGGGGTTCAGTACTTTATGTTCAAGGATCAATTAATTTTAGTGTATCAAATTAAATTTTACGCAAAAGCCTTTTATAATTGATTGATCAAGTTACTTTGCATCTTATCTTTTATCCTTATTGTGGTGAAACGCTTGAAAAAGCATAACTTCAGGTCCTCACTGAGGAAAATAATACATTCTAATAAAATAAACTCTAATATAATCATTATTTTTAAATAAAAATATTGTTTTATTTTCTTTGTTTAAAGCGCTTTGATAAAAGAAACAAGTGTAGTTAGTGCCTTGATAAAAGGCAACAGTTGTGGAGCATTAAGTAAAAAGCCATATTTATTTGCTTTAGTAGCACGCAAAGTAAGGTTAGGACTAACGTTGGTTAATTAGTGGGTGTTAATGAAGTATCGTCCAAAGGTTAATAGGAATGTTATTGTAATCGTAAATGTAAGGCTGTTAAACAAACTACTCAAGTTGTCTTGCAAGTAAACCAAAGCGAGTTTGCAATCGGCCAATAAATGTAAACAAGGACAAAAGACTGAAACAAATCGATCACAAGTGAATAAATAAAAGGAACTTTATAGT